ACTACTACTACTACTACTACTACTACTACTACTATTACTACTACTATTACTACTATCACTACTACTACTCTACCCAATCCTCCGTGGTGGTATTATACGATTGCGCAATTCGCGCCACCGCGTACGTATCGTCCGGAGGTCCGCGGTTGCGCGCGAAGACGAGTCGACGAACTCGCGGCAGTCGCAGTAGCCGAGGGCAGCTCGCGCTATTCGCAGGTGAAAGCCGCGCCGAGGCCATTTTAAGGCGACGCACACAACGGCGCACCACGACCGATCGTACATGTGAAGGTTGAAAGAGTCTGCCTGCGCTGGCTGTTTCGGGGCGAAACTCGTGAATGGCGGCTTCCCTCCTCCTACTACCACCACCACCACCACCGCCCTCCCTCCTGCCGCCATTTTCATTAATAAAGCTAATTGAAGGCATTTGTAACGAGCGCGTTGCAGCAGCTCCACGTAGTAATGTACACTGGCATTATGTAAATAAGCGAGTAATATCGCACGGCGATGTTTTTAATTTAGTTTCTTAACTGGGCTACGCGAATGCGCCTTTCAATTCGTTTGCCAGTTGCTATTGAATAATGACGCTAGCAAGGCATTATCGTACCCTTAAAAAGGTCACTTGGATGTAAAGTGCCCTCGGTTGAGGGGGCGACGGTGAGGGGAGTGGGGATGGGATGGGACAGACGGGATAAATAAAGCCTCGCATGCGGTATTGATAAGCTGTCAATAATAAGCATGTCGGACGCGATGCTCGTCGTGGTTTTAATTATAAGCTTAAAGGGCCGCGGAATATGTATTAATAAATATTGGGATTTTAATTAGTTGTGGACAAGGCGGTTGTCTGACGGGGCGATGCAATTTGCGCGATTTAAAAATTTCTCATTCCCCGCAACAACAATTGAAAATAATTATTTCACATGCTCGGCTCTGCGAAAGTTTCCAGCGGTTTTCACCGTAGATGAATGCGCGACCGTACTTTTCAAACAAACTCCTTATAAGCGGGGTGTGTGTGGTGGGGGGGGGGGGGGGGGGGGGGGGGGGGGGGGAGAGGAGAAACACGAAAACAAGCTGAGGTAATTAGAATAATTGAATTAAATAATTATTTTACGTGCTCAACATACTAAATCCGGGAAAGTTTCCAGCAGTTTTCTCGGCATATGTCCGACCGACCATCTTGCCGTTCAAAGCAAGGTACAATTGAATTTTTCTCTCTTGCGGAATTAGTAGAGAAAATTCGTGTATAAAATGTTATTAGCGAACATACTCACGCACGCAGCCATTCTGCAAATTTTATATTCTTAACACTTGCGCTTTTTTCCGACATTGCGACCCCAGAGACGAATTGTGATTGCAACATCGGCAGCCGAGGACAACATCATCAAATCATCGATCAATTTCATCATTTTCTCGCTAATTAATCTCGAATCAATTTTGTATATATTCTTGTTGCGAATTAGAAAAAGCGCGTTGACCGAGAGTTGAACGAGCGTTGAACGAGCGTTGAACGAGCGTTGAACGAACGTCGTTACATCCCGAGCTCCTTGTAATTTCTTTCTCTCTTTTATCAATCATCCTTGGGGACGTTGCTCCCAAGTTCCGATCCAAAGGACAACATTATTCGGGACAACCAAATAGTCATAAAACCTTCGGTAATTAACGCGTCCGAGATCCCGGCAAATCGATCGATCGATCCATCCATCTACGCGTTTTCGTAAAAAATCAAGGTAATGGTTGGTGCTCATTCGTCGATGGAGATCAATTGCGAACGAGGCTTCAGACTGGTATCGTCGTTCTCTTTCTCTCTGCTGGTTAGGGTTTTACGAGGCGAACGACTCCGTAAGCTGGCGCCTCTGGTGTCGGTCGCTCCAACTTCTCGCCCACGGACGAGACTACGGCGGGCTAATGTCAAAACGTATACTAAGAACGCATCGGTGTGTGCGCGCGCGCGCGCGCGCACGTATGCGAGCGCCAGTTGAACTTTCCAAAGTTAGCACGAGTATGTACACGGGCAGTTTTAATTGTTGGCTCTTTAATTTGGTCATACTCACTGATAACTTTATAAGCGGATGATCTGATTCACTTATTTAATTAGTGCCCTTCTTTTGCAATTAACATTTTCATTACTGCTGCTGCTGCTGCTGCTGCTGCTGCTGCTGCTGCTGCTGCTGCTGCTACTAATGCTATTGTTATTATTATTTATATTAAATTTATTTAGGAATAAAGCCGACGTAATGAAGTATAACTACTGGCAAAATTAAAGTACGTATTATATCGAAACGGACGATTAAAATTTTTTATTAAATATACTAATAATTTGATTGCCTTACCGAGGTCGTCACACGCTATTATTTATTCAAACGTAAGCTACTGTTTATTTGTTGTAAAATTACGATCGCATACCGCAAATATGCAATAAACTTCATACGGGATGTGCAATATTAGATTTTCCTGTGTATGATATCAAATCATAAAATTATTCATTCGTGCGCTTCATACGTAAGAAAGGTAAATTTATAATTTTACAGATATATTTGGAAAATTGAAATATTCCTTAGAGCGCGAAAATATTATCTTTATTAGTAGATTACACATAGTAAAATTTGTAATATTCTCCATTGAAATATGCTTTAAAATACATAATCAATCATATTGATGAAATTCAGATATTATAACGCTAATGCGTTTAATCTCTACAAATTGAATCTCAAAGAAATATTTATTTAGAATGGAATTACTAGTTGTTTGAAAATATTTAAAAATCATTAAAATTATACGGAAGCTTATATTTAATCCAATAAATTTAATACAAATACTTTAAACGGCGAAATATCCCTCCTCTTCGCCACAAGTCTTTAACTAGAATTTGCTGTATTAAGTATATTTGCAAATTCTAAATTAAGAAAACGAAAAGTGAGATGGAAGCGGATAGAAATTCTCGGGTTTTAACCTTAATAATTTCTTTGAACGCTCGTTGTATAATAGACAAGCACCCTCTTCCATTCCTTCTCTCTCTCTCTCTCTCTCTCTCTCTCTCTCTCTCTCTCTCTCTCACTCTCACTCTCACTATCCTTCCTTTCTTCATTTTTTCTTTTAAATTTTGATCTCTTTCCCATTAGATTTACAAAAAATTTAGAAAAAATAAAGCCAGTCGATTTACAATTCTTGAAAAATCAATATTCTCGGCGATCCTCTAAGAGACCGAAGGTTAAAAGAATTTAAATTAAGATGATATTATTATATACTTTAATAGAGTTTTCATTACACAAAATCCTTATGTACCTGTTTAAGTATTTGATTATCTACAACCTTGTCTTAAAATTCCGATATAAATTTTCCACGGATTTTCATGAAATTGAAATTTCATTTGGTTAGCAAATGCGACTTTCTTCCTTCATCGAGTTCATTGTCATTAATAATGACTTTGGCAACATTCACGTTCGAATGTTCGTACATTTAATGCGTCTCCTTTGCTCAAATTCGCATTTACAAACACGCTTTAAATTATGAATTTCTTTGCACATATTATGCCTACGCTCATTTTAAGTTTAATTTGACATTTTTATCATTAAACCTATACCGATTGGCTATACTCTGACGACGGAGATTTATTTGAAATGTGATTTACACTTGGCATGTATACTATGCGTATATACGAAATTACAAGTAAACTGATATTCTTGTTAAATAAAAAATCTTGAAGCAAGAAGCAAAATCATAAGGTAATATCCAAGCCCAGTGAAATATAAGAAGATTTATAAAGTAATTAAGAATGTATCATGAGATTGTAAATAATTTTTCAAGTACAGGTCATGTTGATTATTTAATTATAAATAACAGTAACCATAGCCGTAGACCGACAGTAAGATTCACAAAGAAGCCTAGCCAGTCAATAAAACACACTTTATTGAAAAACCAACTTTCGGTCTTGTAAAAACGTGATTAATTTTCATTATTGAATGAACATTATTTATGTTTCCATGAATAATCGAAGAATTTAATTAAGCGCGATGAAATGGAAAAAAAAGCAGAAAAAAAAGAAGAAATAAATGCTTAACGTTGACTCAATGTAATAGAGCAAATGCACATTTTATTAATATAAACTCTCGATCCCGTCCTCTATCCCCCTCCTGCTCGCACAATGGCGCACACATACTCTCTCTCTCTCTCTCTCTCTATCTATCTATCTCTCAATCGTATTATGGCCGGTTGTTATTTTCTCGGCAAGCAGTGGCGATACTTTTTCAAAGTTTCTTACGGGGCTCGGAGCGCACGCCGCCGTCAGCAATGCAAAGTTCGAGTCGTCGAATTGCTTATGTATCAACAGTGGTCTCTCCTAGTCATACTAATGAACTTTTAAAAAACTCGTTACCTCGCTCGGCCACTCTCACAAAAAATCAAAAAATCAAGAAATCAAAAAACCAACAAACCAACAAACCAAATAACCAACAAATCAACAAACCAAAAATCAACAAACATATAAGTGCAGCGAATGAACAGCCGACCGACTCTTACCTACCCAATGCGAGTGTGTTGCACTCGTCGATTTTTACGCTCGGAGCATTCGGGACCCAATCGAGTCGCCGTTGCGACATACGCACGCGCCTATTTCGCGTAATCACCGGCAACGGCTTTTGCGATAAAACGACGTTTCGGTAAGTATTGGATTAGCCTTCACTTGGCTACACACACACGCGCACACACGCACACACACGCACTCGAACTCGCTTTCGTAATTCACTTACGGCGGCTGTGCGCTACTTAATAAACATTTACGGCTATAGCGTCGTTCGAGCGAGATTATGAATGCGTGTGGGCACGGGGGTCTCGCGAGTCGACGTCTCCCGTTTAACGCGTTCCGAGGGAAAATCGAGACCGCAAGAAAGCGTTGTAACGGCTGTTTTAGCGAAACCAGTTAAAAGCCAAGTTTTAACGAGCACGGTGGTGACTCCTGGTTCGAGAGTCCAGGTTCGTGAAAAGATGGTCCATGGTGGTGTACTCACCGAGGCGCGCGATCGCCAGGAGCAGAATCACGGTCCTTAGGGCTGACTTCATCATGGTGAATCAATCCTTCGGGTTCTTTCTCTCCACCTCTCTATCTCTTTCTTTTTCTTTTTCTTTTCTCTCTCTCTCTCTCTCTCTCTCTCTCTCTCTCTCTCTCTCTCTCTCTCTCTCTCTTCGGGGATTGTCCCTCGCGTCAGCGACTCAGGCACGAGGAAAATTCATTAGCAGCTTCTTCGCGCACTCCCGTAAAATCCACCACAAACAATAACGGCGACACACCGATCGTATCGCTCCTCCAAATGGAGACGACTGTCTCCTACTCCGCTGTCTTCCGCTCAGGCGCCAAGTGCAGCAACAAATTACAACAAACAAACAAAACGGAAAGAACAAACTTGACTCCCTTCTGCCGTCTACTCTGCGGCGCGGATCACCTCATCTCCGGCGGGGCACCGCTTGATCGTTGCGCGGAGGCGCCTCGGCTTCACGCGCACCGGCCACCAGCCTCATCGATTCTCTCGTTCTCCAGCACTGACCCGTTACGAGAGGCCCAACGACATATCACAGCACACGCCACAGAATCAACAACCGCACACACTCGTGGACGATAAACGATGGATAAAACACGCTCTCCTCGACGAATGTGTTTCAGCAGCTGGTGCTCTATAAGCGCGCACTTGTCTCTCTCTCTCTCTCTCTTCAGCACACGCGTTCGACTCGGGGGAAAAATGCGCTAGAGGCTCTCGTGTACGCAATTGCTAAAGTCGCTTGCGCACCTCTCAACGGCCGCGCGCCAACTGAAAGCAGGGACGCGCCGCGCCAAGGAAGCCCCCCACCGGGTACCGCGCGCGCGCCGGAACCTAAGTCCCCTTCCCCCGGCCGACCATCACGCTCGCGCCCACTACCACCGAGCCAAACGCACACACGGACGCACTCACTCGCGCAGTAAGATAGACAGAGACAGATAGACAGAGACAGAGAGAGAGAGAGAGAGAGAGAGAGAGAGCGAGAAAGACGAGTATACGCGCGCGCGCTCCCTTGCCCCCTACCCGCGCCCCTGCTCGAGCCCGAGCAAGCCCGCGACTCAGCCGTCGTCGACCCCTACTCCGGGCACAACTCGACTCCTCTCCCCGCCCCGGTCGGTCGAGCCGTGCCTTTTTTCAAACCGTATGCAGCTCGTCGATGGTACGTTACGCCGCGCCGTAGAGCGAGAGCAAGAGATCAAGGGACTCGCACAATGGCTCCAACGGACGACTCGCGGGATAATATAGCGATATTATAGCGGCCGGCTTATCTCAATTTCCGCCCCGTTTGCAAGTTCCAGGTTCATTATTTTCTAGAGGCAACCACTATGTCGCCGCGCATTTTCCCGAGGAGGTTGCGCGATTACTACGAGCCCGACACTGTCACTCATCGGGCCAAAGTGCGCACTTGTCGGTCCCATCGCACTTTCTCCAACGAGGCAGCGAGCCACATTTTAGTTTCCCAACTCGAGCCCAGGGATTACGAATACCCCGGCTACACCGCATTGTTAATAACGATATTAAATCTTTCGTTTAATGCGGGGATATTATTTTCAAGGAGAAGCTTAGAGTCACGGCGGCGCACAAGACCTAAAGGTGGATAAATTTACGTGTTGGCCGAATTTCCACGTTTCATCTACGTGTTCTAAACAACTATAATTCTACACTGCAGCGCAATAGTAATTACTGCTAGTCGGGTCGTGGCATTGGTCAGATAACTTTCCAAATTTCACGTATACTATTTTAAGCGATTTTGTTTATTTTTTAGCGTCGAATCACAATAACCGCTCATTTCTCCGGACTTTTACTCAAGAGTAATCATTCCGTATCTCTTGTTAGCTCGTGGATTTGATGCCGAGAGAGCAGGAGAGGTGAGAATGGGCATTCGAATAACGGTCACCTATCCTGGCTCATGCAGGATACCCCGAACACTCGCGACGATCGATCGATCGTTCGAAAGATAAAAAACAACAAAAAGCAACAACAATAACAAAAAACAAAAAAAAAAAAAAAAAAAAAAAAAAAAAAAAAAAATATGAGAAAATTGAAAAAATTGCACTTCAAAGTACGAGGAATCGTCGAGACAAATTCGATTATTACGCTCCCATAATCCATAATCGAGATCTTCTAATCGTCCGAGAAGAATAGCAAAGATCCTTCGATCGACCAAACTCCTAGGCTGAAAGGAAAAAGTCGGTGCTCTAGTTTATCTGTGCGAGAAACGGATTACAATCTCAAAAACTTTATAGCCATTTGAATCGTTCAAGGAGACATTCGACACGAGCTCCTCCATTACCGCTTCGTTACGAAAATCATTCACTCCGGCTCGCTTCGACATTATCCTTAACAACGGTTCTGTTTTATCTTCAACTATTCGATTAATAGATAAAAATTTTATATGACAATTGAGTGGAATTATATGGTTGTTGGTTCGTCTGGACATAAGACTGGACTTTTTATATTGGACGGCTGTAAAATTAGCGGTCACATTATTATCAGAGCTGACATATATGCTCTAATAATGATAATAATCGAGTTTTCCGATCGATATCCGTTCGCTCGGACACATTCGATCCATATTGTCGACGATAAGTCACCAGTTTGGATGCAAAAAGAATGAAGGAAAAAGACAAAAAGCCAAAGAGCACTTGGTGATTATGCACTTTATTTGGAAGCACATTTGTCGGATATAAATGGAAAGTAGTAAATTGAAGATTCAGGGTCTCCGGGGCGTAGCTATCGACAGGAGGTCGAAGCCCGGCGTAACTTAAGGCTTTCCAAGTTCGCCAGTGTGAAGTCTCCTGAAGAGGTAAAGGAGCGGAGCAGGAAACGCGCGGGAGAGCGCGACGGCGGCGCCCGCGAAAACGAGAAAGAGATGGCGATGTCGAACGAAGGAGAGAGCGGCAGAAATAAGAGGAGAAGGAATAGACGGCGAAGAGTGGGAACAGCAAGAGAGGAGAGAATGGCTCGGGGCTTCAACGGTGAGAGGGAGAGGAGCGAAGGGGGGAAGGGAACGTAGGTCGACGATGGTGACGGTAGTTTGCCCCCACCGACTGAAGTATCCCTACGGCAGGTGGGTCTCTCTCTCTCTCTCTCTCTCTCTCTCTCTCTCTATCTATCTATCTATCTTTTACTGCTGCTCTCTCGTTCGCTCGCTTCTTGGCTTCTATTTTGCCTGGAGCCAAGTTTGTTGGAACCCGCAGGGACCACTGACCGTTTTTGACCGTCTGCCTGCTTACCTGCGCGCTTGTCCGCGCCAACTTTTCAGTTCTCGAAAATGTTTTCCTCCTCCTCTTTCTTCTCCTATGCCGCCGCGTTTCCCCGCGAGACGAAAACCTGACGCGCCACTTCTACTTTTTTCACATTCAATGCCAAAAAGCAAGACAAAGATGATGGAATTCCGTTACAAGCCACTCTCGGAGAGGTCAACAGTTTTATTCGCTTCTCTCTGCTCGGCACGAAATTTCGTGCGGGGAGGTTGGTAATATCGCCCTACCGAACGCTCATTCCTCGCACTCGTTCGTACCATCGGAATAATTAGCATTCGCGAGGGCGCGAGTCGTCGCGCGAGAGTTACGTGCTCGCGAGCGATCAAGTGCTCCCGCTACGAACGATTAATGCTTGTGTATTTGAATTGTTGTGAGCTGGGTGGGGTGTGTGTGGTGCAGCGTGGGTAGAGGGGGGAAGGGCGCGGAGAGGGGGACTTCAATGGAGAATAAGGTATGAATGACCTCGCGGGAATTTTATGATTCATAAAAGTTATTTATTGGAGTGCGTTGCAGCTCGTTTATGGATGCTTAATTCCTTCCAGGCCAAGTCCGGCTTATACCTACTCGAGGACTAGCAGAGGATGGAGGAGAATGCCTTTTGAAAGAAAGTCGTTTCTTCGCTCCATACCAAAGAGCCAAAATAGGACCCTTCCCGGGCTTGGCTGCACCTCACCTTTTTATAACTCCATTGCGTTCTACATTTCTTTAAATGCGCACGCGCGCGAATAAATTACTCGAATGCAAGGAATTGTGCCGAAATCACTCGATGATATCATGGATAATATGGAAGAAAAAATCGAGACGTCATTGGTTACAGTAATTCACGCCCGTCGTAGACTCTCCTCCCTTCATACCACTCGCTACGCATTCGTGTCGCTCGCTATTGTCGTTGATGTAATTTAAGTTAATGTTTATTAATTACTTTGTTTATTGTAAGCCAATAGCTCGAAATTGTTTGCAATTTCATCAGATTGTTTTGCGATAACGAGTAAGTAAGCAGTAGCGTTGTAAGCAAATGACAAAGCCAATGATAAATCACCGGCAATATTAATATTTTCATAACTTATAACTTAATCGTGTGTATTTCGGATTGTATTTGCTCGAAAGTGGCTGGATGCAATGTTAAAAAATTTGTGCTTCGTATTTGACAAATTCGACGACCGTCGAAAGCAAAGCTGTGGAGTGGCTCGAATGGCAAATAAGACAATAAAGAAAATAAGTTTTCTTTTACCATCATTGAATAATTTTTCTGCTCCTCGTCTCCAGCCCCCCCCCCTCTCGCGCCACTTCCGCATTGGCTAATAAATCTTTTGGTCGTCAAGTCGTAAATTTCTCGCTAAAACGGTAAAAAGTGTCGCCGCACTTTTCCCGCACTTTTTCTCAAAGAGCCCTTCCAACACGTCCTGCGACAAGTATACACACACACACACACACACACACACACACACACACATATGTATGTGTGTATGTGTATATACAGCCTTTGGCCGCGAAATTGCTTATCAGAGCGCTTCAGGTAATTTATCGACAATCATCCATAACTAAGAGTAAGCCAAGCACGCGCTCGAGCCAATGCTCGATCCCCCAGTTTGTATTAAATCTCGGGCAAGTGAGAGTCGGACGCGGACAAAGGACTCCTCGTTATAAGCAGCTACCGAAAAAAAGTTTCAACTATAGAGGATAAGCCGTGGAAGGAGCGGCAGCTGATCAGCATAAAAGTTGAATAAATCGCTGAGGCGATCGAGCGATTGGGCCGGGCGCAGCATCCGCAGCCATCCGAAAG